ACACAAGTTTGTAGGACACAGCAAAAATAAGTTGTAATAGCAACAAAAAATGTGTATTTAGCTTAAAACTTAAGCTGAACATTAGCTGAAATTGGAGCAAATGGCTGAATGTGGCACAGAAGACAAAAGCACACAAAAGAATAGTGGAAATTATCAGAATTATTGCTGAAATAACAGAAAAAAGCTAAAATTAGCATCAAAAGAGGCTAACATTAGCACAAAGAAGTTCAGAAGAGCAGAACCAGAACAAAATAAGATGCTGTAAAGATTTAGTAACATTTTGAAGGATTGAAAGGAAGTTGAAAACAGCTGCATTCATTTTCAGTGGGAATTGGCTGAGTAAGTATAAATAACTGAAATATGAAAAGTTATAGCCGGAATGTCTTGAAGGAGCTGAATGTTTTGATACATGAATTGTTAAAATAGCACAAAAACTGCAGAAGGAGACATATGCCAAAAATCATATGGAAGAAAACATGGTCTCAATACAATCATATGATTATATCCCAAGTTCTAACACAAAAGTTGTGCAAAATGAAGTGAAAACTGAATTTAATGGATTGCAAATCTAATAAAGTAACTTTATTCAGGCTTCAGGCATGTCCAACAGAGACCCAGAGGAAGACCCAGGACACGCTGGAGAGACTATTCTCTTGTCTGGCCTGGGAAAACCTTGGAGTCCTCCTCAGAGAGGGACCCTGATCCCTCTCTGAACCCTGATCCTTCTCCTCTTTGGGAGTTTCAGCCTCTCAAAAACAAACAAATATTTCCATACCCACTCCACTGATGTGTTGCCAACAAACCTGACTAGTTGCAAAATGCATTTCCTTCAGTTTCTTATTTAAATTATTTACTGTYATAGGCTTCTGTTGCTCCTGTCCAACCTTTTTGAGATGTGTCGCTGCCATCAATACTTTATTATGTTAAACTTGCTTACTGTTTTTTTTTCAGCACCTGATGTCGAACATGACCCCAAACTCAAATGTGTCTTACTGCCCGCTGATTGAAATGATGAGGAACTTCAGCTCGAAGAGCAACGAGGTCAACTGGGTGGTGGTTTCCCTCCACGGTCTCGTCTCCTGCCTGGGGATTTTGGAAAACGCCCTGATCATCTGGGTGCTGGGGTTCCGCCTCAGGCAGCACACGGTGATCAGCATTTGGGTGCTCAACCTGTCCCTGTCCGACTTCCTGGCCTGCCTGACGCTCCCGCTCTTCACAGCCTACCTTTCTCTCTCCAAGAGCTGGGAGCTCAGTGACTTCCTGTGCACAGCGCAGTCGTCCATCTTTTACGTGAACATGTTTGTTTCAGCCTTCCTGCTGACGGTCATTTCACTGGACCGCTTGCTTCTGGTGGTCAAGCCGGTGTGGAGCAAGAATCATCGCTCCGTGGCAGGAGCATGGAAGGTGTGTGCACTGGGGTGGCTGTGGGCCGTGATAAACACTGCCCCCTACTCCGTGTTTCGCTCGGTGATCGAAAGGCATGATGGGAAAAAACTGTGCTACCATAATTTCGCTTTGTATCTATCTGTTAATGAGTCCCTGGAGACGGTGTGTGCTGTGAGAGAGCAAGCCACTGCCATCTCCAAGATGCTGTTTGCATTCCTGTTTCCTTTAGTGATTATAACAGCGAGCTACATCAAAATTGCTCTCAGGCTGAATGATCTGGTCAGAAGACGAAAGCAGAATGACAAAAGGATGAATGATATACTGACCAGAGGTGGCAGTTCTGAAGTAAATAATATCCCCCTAAAAACTACAGATAATAATTTCTCCCCTAAGTCTTTTACTGCTGATTCATCTACCAAAGCTAAATCAAACGCCACATCCTCAAGCACTTCTGCTCCATCACTGCTGCCCAAGAGTTTCACCAAAATGACAGCRTTAGTGATTATTGCCTTCACTCTGTTCTGGGCTCCTTATCACATCTTATGCATGATGGAAGTAGCCTTTTACCAGAAGGAGATAGCAGACACACGGCTTCCTCTAGCGGCAACTTTCTCGTTCCTGAATCCAGTTTTGAACCCCGTCCTGTATGCCTTCAGCTGCCCTCAGTTCTGCCTGAAGATCCGTCAGAATCTGACAGCCGTGTTCGAAGGACTCATAGAGGAAGGCGGGTTACTGATGGTGCCGGGGAGCTTCAAACCTCAAAAGAGTCAGGAYGTGGACTTCAAACTTTAACTCTAGGTCAAGTAGTTTTAGGAAAATTTCAGCAAAACTTCMGATTTACAGTTGACTTATTTTATATATMCATTTTTTGGCTCTTGTATTGAACTACAAGAAGTTTGCACTTCAGTAAAAAGTGAAATTGTGCAAAGACTGCTTTATTAATTTATTTAATGAGGAGAGACTTATGTGTATTTTAGGACAAACAAAATGCTTTTATGGTCATTACCAAGTTTTTAACGCCTAAACTAAATCAAATTTTCTGCTGCCTGAAGCTAATAAGAGCATGAAATCATAATTTACATAATAAAAAAAATATTTGAGCATTCAGCTGAAAATTGATTGTTTAAAACAAAAATAAAGACTTTTGGACTGTATCAATGTGTTTTTTTAATGTTTTGTTAGTTTACTGTATTATTTAACTTGTTTTTTTAGTTACCAACATATCAGGATTGTAAACACTAAATAATAATGTCTTGATTTGAGACTTTATGTGCCAGGATTTTTTTTGTTTGTTTGTTTCACTCCTGTGATGGACTTGCGACCTGTCCAGGGTGTACCCCGCCCCTCGCACTGTGACTGCTGGAAATGGGCACCAGTGACCCACGCAACCCTGAAAAGGAAGAAGCGTGTACAGAAAATGGATGGATGGATGGATGGATGTTTCTCTTGATTTTGTTCTTTTGTTGTTGTTTCTGTAAAAAAGAAGGAAATATTGAAATAGTAAAAAGTAAAAAGTTCACAAGCATTTAGCATTTATAGTTTCAGGTATCTTGACAGAACATGACTGGGTTTGAGGATTTAGGTAAACCTATAAAATGTACTTTTGCATGCATGCCTAATGAACTGTAATGCGCTATAATCCAATGATCATGTCTAACATTGCATGATTAACTACCACGTGTTTTTGTCCAAATTAACAAATGTGAGAGTGAAATATTTAGCTATGCATGCTATGTATGATGACGAAAAAGAAGAGCTGTGAGACGTCTGCATGCAAATATTAAGGCTTCATTGTCAGTATCAAATAAAAATATATATCTTGTGTTCTGATTTGGTTAATTTCTTTTAGGTTCAGATGAAATTTGCATTTAAATACATCAGTCTTTTCCAAGCATCATGAGGTCAAAGAACACAATAATGATGAATTTATATCATTTATTTTGCAATTATAAGGAAAAAACCAACACAAGTTGTGAAGTAAAACATTTTTTTATTATACATAATGAGTTGTGTGGATTCATGCTGTGCTGTCTCGTGCCACCAGGATGCAGCAAAGGACTGATGATGCTTTTCAAGTTTTTCTATTTTATTCCAGCAGAATTTTAAAGCTGAGTTGCKGAACATCTGACCACTAAAAGTGATTGGATTTCATCAAAGCCAATATCCATTGTCTCCTCAGCATCATCGTTGTGTTTGTGTGGCTCTATCACACTCTGCTCTGGACACACACATGCACACACCCCACCACTCCACACACACAAACAGCAAACAGGCTTTAGGATCATGTAGGCCACAGCAGCATGGGATTAACGCAAAGGTAGCTCTCATTTAGAAATATCATGAAAGGAAAAATCRAGAGACAAATAAAATAATTCTAAAAGTAATTTTTGGCCCTATTTGTTTTTTCAGGTCAGTTGGAATAAAATTGGTGAATAAATAAGACCAAAGACACAGAAGCACGACTGTGTACTTTTATTAAGTTAGATACACAAAAAAGCATCCATTAGTGTCTTAATTTGCTTTTTACATGTTTTAAATATTATAAAACCTTATATATTTAAATGCCACAATATTATTGTGTGTTACAAAAATTAGTGATCACCATTTTTATTATTGAAGTTTGAGGTTTTATTGTTAAATCTACTACGTAAATCATAATAAAGTAAAATTAGTGTCTGTTATAGCAAGAAAATAACTCTCTGAGATTAAAAACCTCTTTTCCAACAGTGACCTGGCCAAGACAGCAGCATAAAACATACAACAAATCCAAAACACAAAACTAAGAGACAGCCACATGGCTAAACATGTGAGCAGATACAGGAGCCAAGTGATTCGTTTCCTCTGTTGTTTAAAATTCATTAGAATTTCCCCAAGGYAACAAGAAATCCTTCTGCGTGTTATTCCAGGTGGCAGAAGTGGAAAGTTTATAAAACCATTTTATCCAGTTCAGTTCTGACCTTTGGGACCTGTATCTGATGTCCTGAGAGTGCAGATCATAATGGCTGCAGGTTCTTGACAGAAATGAGCATAAGTATGCAGAGAGACTCCCAAGAAYGCATTTACTGACAAAAATCAGCCAGTAAGAGAGCCTGTGATCAGTCAAAGATGGACAAAGATGATTATACTCTTCAAAAGTCTTTAAGATTCTTTAAAAAACACCTCAATGTATATTTATAACCTAAAGTAACACTAAAGTTAAACAGTTTTCTTTGCTCCTGAGTCATTTCTGCTCTGAATTTATCATTACTGATGTAAARTCTGATATATCAAAAAGTCWTTGGAAAGAATCTGTTCTCAAGCTGAGCTCCCTCCAGCAAGGTGTAAAAGTTAATTTKTGTCCAATGATACACATAAGAAATGTAGCTATGCTGCAAAAAAGCAAAGCTAGTGATTGAAAATTACACACTTCTCTGATGATGGTGCAAACAGCTGATGTAAGTATGTTCAGCAGCTAAAAGCTTTATAAGACCCAGAACCAAGAAACCTGACCCCAGTAAAGATGTGAATAATAAAAAAATTAAAGATACAGTAAAAAAAAAAGGTGCACAGTTATTCTGAACCAGAAGGACTATGAAGATAAGATCATGACACTCCTTAGCGACACGACCACACGAC